GTTCAGAGGTTGATACCCACTTATATAATTGTTGGCAACAAAAGAAAAAGTTCTCCTATAATAAGGATTTCTTGTTAAATAAAAAGGCAATCCCAATGAGTAGAACATTCTAACAATTTCATAATCTAATGTCTCTCTAGCTTGCATATTGAAAGATTTTTCTAGTGGTCCAGATGTTTTTTCTCTTTTTGAGATCAACACTATCATTGGTGTCCAAGAGTGATTTATTAGAAACCAGAGGCAAAGGAAAAAAAATTTGCTTTTGACTTTTCTATCTTCAATGTAGTCTCGTTGTCTAACTTTTTTAAATCAACAAATTTTGAGGATGTTACCTTTTGACAATTTCTAACTCCTTTTTCTATATAATCTTCAACAAATGTGCCTTTATTCTAGTATAAGATCTATTGAAAGTTAAGTCACAAATATTGTATTTGACTTCATAATTTCCACCACCTCCACCCACACTTTTTATCTTTATAACCTAATTTCATAGGGGTTTGGTGTCATCATCTTTTAAGGGTTGACTAGAAGTACTCATTTTTACAAGATTTAGAGACAACTAATTTAGTTCCTGTTTATTTTCAAATGAAACAAAGATGAAACATGTGAAGAGAAAAGGACAAAAAATGAGTGACTATATAGCAAGGCATCTGCAACCACAACTTGCAAAAGTAAGAAAAATAGAATTATTGGTCCTACAACACTTCCAAATTTTTTGATAATAAATACACAGAAAAACATACTCTAAAAGAAAAGTATGTCCAGCAATGCCAATTATCACTTTTAAGAGAATGTGTACGAATATACATAAAGATGGATATCAATTTTTAAAAGATAAATCAAACTAATATCTACTACTGCTGTTGCAGATTTACCAATGCCACAAAATATACAAGTTAATAAATATTATAATTGTTCTTCCATGCACAAATAGGTTTAGAAATTTACAACCTTGGCATATAAAAACATACAAATAACTTGACCCACAAAATCAAATATATGTGTGAGAGTGAGACCATGCATACAGGCCTAGCACACTATATGTGAAGGTAACATTTTTGAGTTTTCAACATCCATTTAATCTATTTAATGTCAAATGGACAAGCAAAGTGGTGGGGTATACAGATTGACAAGAAGATAATTCTCTCTCTTGTGGATTTCTAGAACAAAAACAAAAACAAAAACAAAAACAAAAATAAACACTAACTCACTAAGTCACTAACAGAAGTAGAAAATAGAAATAGAAATAGAAACAAGAGCAAATTTTCAACAAATAGTGGAACAAAATAAAACATGTGTATAGATGAATTAGAAACAGAAGCAAAAACAATGGAAGAGAATATAAACCTCGAAATAGAAACATAAAAAGAAAAAGAAACAAAAATATTGAAATAGCAACAGAAACACAATACAAAAATCACAAAAATAAAACAAAGATGGACGAAAAAGTAGAAAACAGAGATGAGACAACTTACTAGTAAAAATGACAAAGATGAATGTTGTTGGAGAATGATGAGTGGTGACTAGAAAAACTTGAACGACAAGCAAAGAAATGTGCAGAGCAAAGAAGACCCAATACAACATAATAGAAACGAAACATGCCGAAGAAGGAAGAAATGATGGAGTTTTCTTGGGAAGATGATTTTTTTTTAATTTTTAGGTTTTAACCTTTTTTATTTACTTCAATTTTTTTTTCTGGAGTTGGAGTCGTGTCTCCCTTGCCCAACTGTATCGCAGTTGTGGTGGCGTCGTGCTGCAGCTGCACAAATGGTTTTAGTTTTTCGGACACCTGTGTAGCAGTATTAGACACGTGTCAGAGCCGCGTCTAGGCAGTGTTAGTGTCAAAATCGTTTTCGACACCCAAACACTTCACCGACCAGCAGTGTCGGTGCTTTTTAGGTAGACAGTCAGAGTGTTATCCATCTTGGTAAGAATTGAACTTTCCATTCTAAATCCAAATATAGTGATGTGAGGTATAATTGGATACATGATGCCTTAGATGCTAATTTGTTGGAATTGGATAAAGTTTATACTAATGATAATGGTGTTGATATGATGACTAAGCTACTACTAAGGTGGAAGCTTGAAGCTTGTTGTGAGATCGTTGGCTTGGTGATCACCTCTAAATAGTTGTGAGAGGGGGGGGGGGAGATGTGTTGGGTTGGGCTCCTAACTATGTGTCCAAAAAGTTCAAACTTGTCAAGCCCATTTTGTCTCACTTAACCTAAGTGGAGAGGGATCTTTTAGGTTAAGAGAGTGTGTTAATTTTACAGCTTTTGGGAAGAGAAAAAAAGAGAGAAAGAGGTCAGAAAACTGATTCACATATTCATATATTAGCATCAGTAAATTTGTGATTCATTTGGATCAGGTTGAAAATTTAATGACAGTTCTTCATTTTGACCATTGGGATTATGGATTGGAAGTCTGTGGTTGGAGAAATCAAATTTGCAGTTGCTCTGCTTTTAGGTTTCTTTTTTCTTGTTCTTCAAATTAAAAGCTTTATTGCTTAGATATATTGGCTAGTTGTAAACACATGTTTATGCATTTGATTAAACTCTCTTGTACCTGTTATTTGATCATAGTGGAGCTTAATTGACTGACTTGTGCTCGTGATTTTTTTACTTCTCACATTGAAAGAATTTTTCCACATTAAAAATATTTATATCTCTTTATGATTACTATTGTCATTTATTGCTATTGTTGCTCTTTGTATGTTCCTGCAAGTTAGAAAATTATTTCTACTGTTGCATACTTTGATACTTTTGGTTGTTATGTTGTTGTTTTACCACACTAAATTGTTGCATGTAACGAAGGACAATTCAAATAATCACTTGCATATGTATATAATAAAAATATACATAACATAAGATGAGACAAAATTACTTTGCATAACATCTCAATTTCATATTAACAATAAACTTTTAAAAATTAAATTCTAAAATTTTATTAAACATATTTTTAAAATTTTATTTCTAGAAATGTATTTTAAACTGAATTTCAGAATTTAAATTTCAAAATTTAATTTAAAATATACTTTCATAAATTTTTAGAAGTGTTGTAGATTTTTAAAAAGGTACTTATTAAAATACTTCTAAATTTAAGAAGCATTAAATACTCTCTCTAAATTATACTAAAATATTAAAGAATATTTATGTTTTTTTTTAAATAGATTACTAACCTCGCTATTAAAATCAACCATCATAATAGTTTTAAGTATAATAGTTTTAAGTATAAGAGAGCATAGCATAATTTATCCTTCAAAAATCTATTATACTTGTTTTTAAAAATTAAATTATAAAAATGTGTTTTAAATTAAATTCTGAAAGCGAAAACAAAAGTTACTTTCAAAATTTAAATTCCAAAATTCAATTTAAGATATACTTTCGAAATTTAATTTTTAAAAAATTTGTGTATTAGACTTTCAAAATTTAAACTCAAGATGTTTACTTTTAATTTTATTTTCATTTTGGGAATTTAATTTGAAACAAAGTTCTGTAATTTAACTTCTAAAAATCTATTACACATATTTTCGAAGATAAATTTTTGAATAGTTTACTTTTAGAATTAAATCTCTAAAAAATGTCGATAACAACATTTTTAATCTGTCTGAAACTTGAGCGGAAATGAAAAATTATATTACTTACTAACTTTAATTGAAGGATGTTAGTGGAGCAGTGAGAAGAAATAAAAGAATGTACATAAACTAAATCGGAAATTAAAAAGAAAAAGGACAAAGGATAATTTTAAATTGTAAAAAAGATATTTTTGAAAACAAAATTTACGAAAACAACAAAGTATGAGGTGGAAATAGGGGGGAAAAAAAAACAGGGTGCAAAAAGCAACCCCTATAATTTATAACAGATACTATTTTATTTATTTATTTTGTGCTGGTGGACATTGATCGTTCACAACCAAGAAACTTTTTCTTTTCCATAAAACAAAACCAAGAAAACATTTTCTTTCTCAAGAAACAGCGAAATAAACCAAAAAACGACGTACGTTTATTTTGTGTTATTTTAATAGGTATATTAGAGATAAATGTACAATGCTCAAAAAATGGAAAATAATTTTAGTCATATTTAAGTTTTCCATTTCAATTATTAAATATAATTAAATATCTTTTTAATAAATATTTTTTAATTGTAAAACACATAATAAAATTCAACTAAATTAAGAGAAATTAAAATATATAATTTTAATATTTCTACAAATTAAAAAATAAGTTATACACAAATTAAATAAATATAATTGTTTTCTAAACAAACCAAAAACGTTAAAAATTGAAAGAAATATACCTTTATAAAGTCCAATTTTTTTGCTAGCAATTCCTGTAATAATAGTATCATCATTTCTTGATAAAGAATAAGACACTGTAATACAACTCTAAAACTTTAAGTAATAAATACACGAGCCCATCTATTTGATTTAACATTTAACCCAATTTTAATCAAGTCATCACCAATTCTTAATTGATCTTTTATTCATTCAATTTCTCTAGTTATCCAAACAGATAATCGAACGAATTTTCGGTTCAACCAATCAAACCAACTGTCCTGCATTGATTTTTAAAACAGTGGCCATTGAATGCATAAATGTAGGTTCACTCGTTCAATTATGAACAAATTCCACCAGGTTTAAAATTAAATTTTGGATCACGATAACTGTTGTACTTTGAAATTTAACAATACGCATGCATGCTAATACTCCACTAAACTTGGCCACGTTGTTGGTATATATACATGACGTGAGATCAGAAGGCATCAACTAATCAACTAAATGAATACAAAGGATATACATAACATTTTGAGCACACACATTCACGGAGTTGAAACACTAAACCTTGTAGGTCACAACTCTTCAACATTTAGTTTATCAAATAATATATCAAACAAGAACGTTAAAAGTACTCACGGTTTCCTTCCGAGGCATCTTTTTAACAGAATATGGCACCGAACTCTACTATGTGGCTAGAAGCCATTATAATCTTGCTCTTTATACATTTAAAAGAGCTCCATTAACTGGTGCGAGACATCTGCATAAAAGTCAGAATCAGTATTAATAACTAATAAAAGAGGAATTTAAATATAAAAAAATGCTAGACAACCATATCTTCTGTTGACAAAATTTTAAATGATTTTTTTTGACAAAATGATTTGACTTGAGTGTTGACTCTTGCATGGGTTGGTCGTAGCACTTTTTTCCATCCAACAACAATAGATGAATCTAGGGAAATTTTGGCTATTTATTTCTGCTTGTGCAGCATTACTCCGATACAAGTCCAGTCACATTTTCATGACCACTCTTCTAACAAGCTACATGTTGGGTTGGACTCTCAACTATGTGTCCAAAAGTCTAAATTTTCAAGCTTATTTTCTACACTTAATTGAGGGGAGTGAGAAGTCAGTGGAGTGGGTGAGGGAAGTCCATTTTCGCAGCTTAGTGTGAGTATTTTCGGAGAGAGGCATCAAAAAGAGAGAAGGGAAGTGAGGGAAGAAAAGAAGTTCCAGACCAGTTACTCCAATTCTTTGATATCCGATTCGTTCACCGTTGGATCGGGCTGAACAGCAGGTTTGTAACACGGTTCTCTTCGTTCTAACCGTTCGGATCGTCGATTGGAGGTCTGAAGTTGGAGATATTGTCTTCGCACAGAAGCCCTATTTTTGGTGACTCTGCACAGACCAGCTGCTGAGAAATCGTTATTTCTCCTTAGTTAACCGTTGGATTGAGCTGAAACTTTGATAATAGTTCCCAGACGTATATTTCTTCATTCTGACCGATGGGATCGTCGATTGGAGGTTTTGGCTGAGAGAAATTGTATCTGAACAGTAGTCCTATTTTGTGAGATATTCTCTCTTTGATCCTTCGTTGTAGGCTTTATTGCTCTGTTGATTCTGGCTGGCTGTTTGCACGAATTTGTGCACTTGATTGAACACTCTTGTACTCCTTATTTGATTATAGTGGAGCTTGATTAACTGGCTTGAACCCGTGGGTTTTTACTTCTCACATTGAGAGGGTTTTCCCACGTAAATAATTCTCTGTGTCCTTGTGTTTGTTGCTGTCATTGGTTATTGTTGTTACTCCTCACAGGTTCTTGCAAGTTTGGGGAATTGTTTCCGCTGCTTACTTTAGATAATTGTGTTCTTGTGTTTGGTTTTCCCCAACACTACAACCTATATTTTTATAACAATATGAAAACTAGGACTAGAATTCAAGTTTCAAAATCTAAACAAAAAGTTTAAGGGAAAACAGTAAAGAATTAAAAAGGAGATTGGCCTCAGATATTGCTCTTTAAAAAATGATCAACTGCTGCAATATAATAATAAAATTGCTCCTTTTCATTCTCCCAAAAACCAATCACTTACTCATTACTGATGAACCAACCCTTGCAGAAATCAAAATACTATAAATTCAACATTATTGTTTGATAAAAGAAACGGTAGAGAGGAACAGAAGGGGAAGTGGGTGCAGAGTACCCAAAAGAATGGATGGTGTTGCCTCAAACTCTTGCCAGATATTCTGATAAGCATTAAGATCAATGTTCAGAAACTTTGAAGCAAGATATGCAGCTCCAGCAGCAATATGAACGGGTTTAAACTGAAGCCACAAAGAACTCCGAAGCCTGCAAAATAACATTGTTAGCTTCACAAAACCAAATATGACACATCACTACTGTCTACGTACAGCATCTCTCAACATATATAATACAGCGACATGCAAATAGTAAACTAACCATCTGATGCAACAATAACAGAAGAAGATTCTTTTACAAGTTACAACTTATCTCACCATGTCTGAGATGATGTCGCCAACTAAAATGTGAAGTAATATAAGCTAGATAATACATACAAAATTGAACGTTCATTCCAAGTGGAAAGCACAAATTTACTAACTTTTCCTTAACAACAAGAAAAGCAGCAACTCAGGAAGAATACTATTCCAAGAATCTCTGAGTGATTGCTGATAGAGTATCAAATTACAGCATTATCTTATCTAGAGATTTTTTTTTCAGATTTCCAGGCCTAAAACTTCTGTGGGGGCTTTAAACTCCAGAAATCTATGCAATTAAAATGAAAGGAAAGGCGGGGTTTTGCAGGTTGCAAACAATTGAATCTTTCAAAGCTAATGCCAATGCAACATCTTCTGCTTACAGTTTGATCTGGAAAGCCTTGCTAATATGCACATTGGAATGCTTATGACGAATGCATCATACTCTGCATTACTCATGTAATCAATTAATAAACCAGTTTGAAAGGAAAAATAACATAAAATTTCAAAAGGGGAAATATAAGGACAACCCAGTGCTTGGGGATCCCGCCAAGTGGGGTTTGTACACAACATTACACCCTGTATGCGGAGAGACTGTCTCCAGAAAATGGAATATGCAATGCAAGCTTCCATCCAAAGGCCATTTTGAAATATTAAATGTTTTTCAGGACAATTGAAGACTCTCGTCCATATCTGAATTTCAGAAACTATTTGTTTTATCTTTCTTTTTGTTAGTTTCTGACTGTCAGATCACTTCCTTGATCTTCTTTTTGTCCAGTATATCAGAAGTGCAAGGATAATTGATAACCAATTTGGCCAAAGGTCATCAGAATAAATACAAAGCATTCAGGGGACCTATTTTCACAATTGAAGGAACTGTTCCACCGGGGGACGGTAAATGAGTATGTGGAAGTTTGATATGCATGCTGCTCAAATATCAATCTCTCTGACTGTGGGCTTGAGTGCAGATAACTCACAGTATCAAGACAAATTTGGTCCAAAAAGTGCATTGGCAAGGAAACATACTGCTGCAATTGTAGAAGGTATAAGATCCAACAAATAAGAAAACTCACCCTTCGCTGACCAAGTTTAATGCCAGATTCACCAAAACAGTATTTGATGGGCCTAATTTGCCAAGGACAGATATAAGAGATGCATACGGATGCTTCACATTGAGTTCAAAATTTAGTGTAGTAAGCAACAAGAACTCAGCCTCAAGAACCCAGTCATGAAACTTTTCAAACCAATCCTGCAAAACAAATCAAGTCGATATAAATGAAAATTGATCTTACTAGTATCCTATTCTAAGGAAGAATCTGTCCTAGAGATTCTTTAGTATCAAAGATATGTAAACTGATTTGAGCTCATAAGATACTTAAATGACAATATCCATCCAAAATTTTATTGCAAATCGGCAATCACATCCATGAGTAATTTTATAGACATATCTAGCATACTCCAATACAATTGATAAAGATTCTATTATTTGGTAATTTTTTCCGTGTCTCGTGAGAGCAATATGATACCAAAAGAAATAAGAAAATGTGCATGATTTGAAGTCTACTCACAATAGGAAGCAGATAAAACAATAAAGTAAAATCTTGTTGATGTAAGATTTCACTGGACGCTCGCAACACGTTGTTCAAAGGACGTGGCGTTTCCTCTGACTTTCCAGCAAGAAAAAGGGCAGCAGTAGCAATCAGCTGTTGCAGAGCGCAATCAAAATTAATGAATCACAACTTGACTATGGAGAAGCAACTTGAAAGAACAAATATGAAAAACCACATGTCACTATTTGGAATGGCACACACCATCTGTTAGGAAGCATGGGCATATCAGATACTTCTTGGACACTTCGAATACCCCAAACTACATTTTCCAATTTTTTACTTTTATTTTTATACAAATACAAATAATAAAACCTATAATAAATAGATAAATGATAGTATTTTAATAATGCTTACTTCTAAGACATATTCTCTCTCTACATTAAAAATATTTGTACTTGTACGAGTCATGTTCAAACTAAAATTTGCCATATCCTGTATCTGTGTCGTATTGTATTTGTCTTATGTTGTATCAATGCTTCCTCAATGATAATTTTCTGTGCACTTCTCAAAGTATGACAAATTCCATGAACCTTGTGGTCTCTGTGACTGAAGAATTTAGTAAAAAATGAAAAAGGTACTCGTAATTAGAGGACAGTAAGAGACTCACAAATCTGTCATGGCAAGCATGTGATCGTCGAACGAAAAAACGGTGGCACAGAACCATGGCAGTCCCAGTGGTAGTTTGAGGCCTGCAAAGAAGCATGTCAAACTACACTAGTACAAAACGCTATCAAACAATTACTTGTAACCCCAAGTACCAATATCATAAGCATATAGTCAATAATGTTTCACATGAAAATAAGAAAAATAACATGACCCATAATGCGAATCTTACAAGACAAGCCGCATTCCAAGACTCTGAAGGAAGGCACAGTAGGTGTAGCGCAAGTGTGTCTCGTGAAGAACATCAATACCATCTCTTCTTGATGGAGAACATCTATCAATCTCATCCCTTGACATAAACACTTGCTCATTGTCTATAGAACAATCAAGCTTGCAGATAGGTGATATAGAGGTATCACCATTGGATCTTGTGGGTGGTGCTTGAAAGCTAATGAATGAAGGGATTTTGTCTTGGAGAATGAATGGAAGATACCGGCCTCCTTCCCAAGTAAGAGATGAATACTTTCTCCTTTTCAAAGATGACTGCACGGCATCATACTTAGCACGATCAAAGTTGTGAAAATTAGAATTGCCACCATGTTCTGCCCTGTAGTTATTATGAATGTTATAATTCCTGTGATAATAGTTGTTCCTGCTTCGTTTCCGATTGCCATTGTTGAAGTTGTTTCCATCAAAGGTGGACCAATAACCACCATGTCCTCCTCCTGGCAAATTTCCTCCAGAAGACATAGTACCTGCAAAGCATAACAAATCACCTATATATTCATGATCAGTCTTTTTTATTTAAAGTTCATTCTTTTTTCTCTGTGACAATAAGTCCACCTCTATAATCAAATTCAAATTTCATCGTTGGAACGCCACCAACTAATTTTCGATATTTTAGAGTCCAAAGGAACAAGTTCTACCTATAACAATCCAAAAAATATCCCTAATAAACTACGATCCATCGTTCTGAGGATATTTTGAATTCACATGGTACAATTTACTGAGGGAAAAAAAATGGTGCATAAAGTTCAATGGCTGAAAATCCCATGTCTTCCGAAGCTATATCACAAAACATTAAATGTCTAAATGATTTTAGCATCAGACACAGAGGACCAAAATTTATAGAACTAGATGGTGGAAATCTTATCATCACGCACATCTCGTTGAACATAAGTTATTGAAAAACTCGATGTGGAAAATCCAGAGTGATAAATAAGAATAGAGTGAATGCATGCCTGATTAAGCAGCGGAGCAAATCTGGGCAATAATATGAAGTCAAATTAAGTTTACAAAGTGGAATTGGAATGAAAATTTGTGGTTTTAAAAAAAGGGAATGAAGAAAAAACAGCTTAGCATGTCTCTGAAGTTTGAAGATCACGAGCAACTAAGGAAAAGAATGTCTAGAACGTTACGCATGTATGAGCAACGAAGAAAAACAATGAATGTTTGAAACGTCACGCATGCATGTGGAGGGAAAATATAGCCCAACGTTTCACTGTATTGGAAGTTTAGAATCAATGTTGTTTACTGTTAAAAATTTGTATAAAAACCAGCTATATATTTTTTAAATAAAAAATAACATGATATCTTTATAATTAAAATTTAAAAATCAAACTAAATAATTTCTTAATAATTATATAAGTTTTATTGATAAATGTCTAAGAATATTAAATAAAAAAGCAAGATGAATTGTGTAACAAATTAGGTTAAGAGTAGCATTTTTTTATATATAAACGTAAATTAGGTTAAGACACTTATTAGTATTTTATTAACTATTTAGTATTGAATACATTTATTGTTTGAATACACTTACAATACACATTATTTCTAATCATGAATTGAATTTAAAAACATTTTCATGTTTAGTAAAAATCTTAGATACGTTGAAAATTGAAAATCATTCTTTTCTTAGTAATTAACCAAATATAAAAATTGTACCTCCTAGAAACATTGGTTATGTTGAGAAAGCTTGGACTTGCGATCAAGCTCTCTCACTAAGTAGCCAACCAGAGATTACCAAGGCTGTTAATGCATACAGCCTTGACCAAACACAATATGCCTTGACCAACCTGAGGTTATGATAGAATCCACCAAACAACTAATAAAGAAATCAATGAAATTGTAGGGATACTGCAAATTATTTTAACAATAATTTTCTCAATTTAAACCTTATCAAAGATTTTTTTTTAATAAAATTAATTTAAAAATTGTATCTAATAAGTTAGTAAAAAATTTTCATAAACAAAAGTAAGAAATTTATAACTTGGTATAGAAATTTACATCTAAACTATTTTTTAATCATTTTCCCATTTCATTCTCTTTTAGATTACTTTTTTGTTACACTTTTATGATAAATTATCTTGAATTAAATAAATATGATCAACAAACAAACGATGTAGTATATAATTGGATTCTATTTAAGAAAATTCCATAAACCATTTTATACTAAAAAATTAGTGCCCTTGATAACATAATAACTAGTTAAAACTTAAAAGGCAAGTATAAATGAGCTTGGATTTTGACATGGATAATTAATATCAATATACAGTTTTTTTTATGAGCATATACAGCTGGTTTTACAATGAAAAATGATCTATATAGCTTGTGAACAAAGCATCACAGGCACCCCACACGTAATGCCACGAATCCTGCTGTGAATGGATATGCCCCGCCGAGAGAGATTCGATCCAAATTATCTGACAAACCAAGTAACTGGCTACAACACAAAGAAAAAGAAACGAACAATTTTAATTACTACTAAATGTAATTACGAAACTTATTGTTGTTCAGTAATCATTGACAAAAATCTGCACCCATGAATGCAAAAGCCGTTCAGTTCTATAATTGCCCTACCGATCCGCTCCGTGAAAAAATATTAGTGTGCTTCAGAATGTACAACTAGGATTTGAATCATCGTCCCAGCGCATAGCACTATTTACAACTCTTAGCCTCCGTTAATTTCGAAATTGATAAATAAGTGTTTGTAACGTACTCTTTCAACACATTTTTAATTAAATATATTAAAAACCATAAAAATTATGAGTGAAACATAAAATTCATATTATTTTATGATTTTCAATGAATTATTAAATAATGTATTATCAGTATTTCACTTAATATAGCTTTCTCACACATGTTTGGACCTCCTGGTTTGACGGCCAAAGCACGTGACAGCTCTCCAATGACAAAACTCACAGCACATGACAGGAGCCACTGAGAAGAAAAAACGTTTGATAAACTCCACCTATCCCATGTGAAGGTCCTCAGTTTTGACGAGCCATAGTACGCACAAAATTAAATATCGTGTCACGCTTCCTTGCTTATAAATGGAAGGGTTGTGGGCAGGGGCCAAGTTTGGCTTGGTGTGAGTGAAAGTGTGTAAGATGATGATGTAGATCAGAAAAGAGACAGAGAGATGGGAAGGAGAACAGGGAAAGAGTCAAAGTCGTATACGCTTCCCTCATCACCATCTCACTCGTTCTCATCCTCTTCCTCCTCAGACTTCGAGTTCACAATCTCAATCTCACCGCGTAAATCCTCCACAGCACTGTGCCCTGCGGATGAGCTCTTCTACAAGGGCCAACTGCTACCACTTCACCTCTCTCCGCGCATCTCAATGGTCCGCACCCTCCTCCTCTCTTCCTCCTCCACCTCCTCCTCCGCCACCACCTCCACCGCCGCACGCGACTCCACCGGCAGCAGCTCCAACGACTCCAACTCCTCCTTCACCAGCGACCTCGCTCTCTTCCCCGACTGCGACTCTTCTCGCCCCAGCTCTGTCACCGAGGACGACGAGTTCAAGCGCCTCCACAACCCTTCCTCCAAGCTCGACCCAACCCACATCAAGAAGACCCACAAGTATTTCTCCTTCTCCAGATTCTCCTCCGTTTTCCGCAAGGAGAACGCCACCAAAACCCGCGGTGGTGGTGGTGACCCCCCTGACAACGTGACTGGTTCCTCTTCGGTGAAGCGAATGAGTGCCACTGCGAAAGAGGTCATAAGAAAGTATCTGAAGAAGGTGAAGCCTTTGTACGAGAAACTGTCCCAGAAACAGCAACAGCAGAGGTTGGCGGTGGAGGGTACAACGTCGTCGGTTTTGTCTCTGTTAACGAGGACAGAGAGATCTACGAAGGAAACTGAGGGTTGTGCTAATAAAAGGGGGAGGAAGGAGAGTGTGAGTGTGCTTTCTCACTCGTTTTCGGGAAACCTGAGATACCCTCGAAGGAGAAGCTGCGTTTCTAGTTGCCCTTCTTCCATGAGATCATCACCCAGCCATTCCGGCGTGCTTTCTCAAAAGGGTGTCCTCGGCGGCATGAACTACGGAGACACTTCTTCGATGGAAGAGTTGCAGAGCGCAATCCAAGGAGCAATCGCGCATTGCAAGAACTCTTTGATTCAGAACAAAACAATGGTCAGCAACGAAATCTAAATCTAAATCTAATCTAATCAACCGTAATTAAGGTTGCTGTTAATTTAGTTTTCGACATGTAGTTTCTTATGTTTGATTCATTGTCTTCCACGTTCTGATTAACCAACGGTCATGTGTTCAAAACAAAAAAAAAACATTTTTTTTTAATTTGGTGTTTTTATTTTACCTTAGAATATGACGTGGGAGTCAGGTTAAAAGCTGCATGTGATATAGTTTGGGACTTCCATTTGGATTTGGTAGAGTAGCGAAGGGAGGAGAGGCATGAAACTTTTCTCTGACTGCTTTGGTGTGTAACTGTGTATAATAAATTATATAACAGTGACGTCGCTGTGGGAGTAATTGCTCTGCAACGCAAATTTGGCAGCATATGAATTGGAGCTTTCTTCGAAACGATTCCATTTGTAACGTTACATGAGCTTCTGAAAAACCCAATGCAAGCGCTTATTTAAATACAATACTATTCTATTCTAGTATTTGATTTGATCCTGAATTGTATACATTGTTAAAGCCACGGTACATTTGAACTCGATCTGATCATGCATGTGCCTATGCCTAAGTAGAAAGGAAGTTTCAAGTCGTATTCCATAAACCCCGTTATATTTAAATGTGCATTTATTGGTCAAAGAAGCAGACGAGAAGGTTCGCGGTAACCTTCATTGGCTTGGAAAAGTTCTAACCTTTTTCAACTCATATATATATATATATATATATATATATATATATATATATATATATATATATATATAATGTGTAACCTTCATTGGCTTGGAAAAGTTCTAACCTTTTTCAACTCATATATATATATATATATATAATGTGTATTGTTATTTTTAAATATTTATTATTATTGTATTTTATTTTATTTTATTTATAATCGATGAGTATATAGATGAGTGATAATAAATACTCACGTGTCTGAATATTATTTAATGTAATTTTTTGTTATACTTAAGTTTATTGATTTTTTTAACATATTTTTAAATACACTTATTTAACAAATTGAATCATCATAATGAAAATAAACCAAAAAGAGTTAAAATAAAAAAGTAAATATAATAAAATCTAATTTTGTATTACTTTTAGTGAAAAGGAAGAGTTTTTTCTTCATCTTTTCCATTTGAATGAAATTATTTCTAATAAATAATACATCAGGAATTAAACAAAGTTAAATTAGATTTAGTATTTAATTTTAAAAATTAGTATAATTTAACTTGTACATGTATAATTTTGTATATAATATTTTTAGCAATTATTATAAAATTAATGAAATAATAATATTTCTTTTTTTAATTTTATTCTCTAAATTATATATTTTTAGAATTATATATCATAATTTTTAATATGTTTGTCAGCTTAATATAAAAATTAATTTAAAATATAAAACAAATTATCTTTTAACTAAATTTTAAATACTTTATCACTCATAATAGTCCTAATTAAATTGAATAGAATTATTTAAAATAAATTTAATTTATACAAAAAAATTAAAATAAAAGTCGAATTAAATTTAAATTTATTTTAATAGAATTACATCACTTCTAATATATCATCGAACACGTAAATCAACTAAAGAAATTGTTTCTAAATAAAAAAAATTACATTGATATTATATTTAAGCAAATTTAAATTAAATTATAATATATTTTATAATCAAATTTGAGTGCTTTCTATTATTAAAAAAAAATAAAAATTAACCGAATACTCTTGGTTTGTATTTTGTAGCATTAAATTTGAATTCATCCTCATTGATTGGTTAGAACTTGGGATCGAGTCTAAAGTTTAAATAAAATATTTAATACTGTAAAATTTTTTAAAAATTTAAATAGAATAACTAGTCGCTTAATTAGTCGCAATTTTTTTCAAAATTCTACCATTAATTATGCCCAAAAATTAAACAAATGAAAACGAAGAGGGATGCAGGCACATGGGAGGGGTTATGCCAATGCAAACCATACTTTTACTTTCTTGAATGAAATTGCATTTGGATTTTGGTGGGTGACATGATAATTCTCATCCTAACTCGTTGTTTTGTTCATGCAAATCGTTGTTGCAGATAATTAGTTAATATGTATAAATGGGAATGTCCTTGCCTTTTGGTGTTCTGAAATAAGACTTTTGAAGCTTGGGGGTTAATTAGAGTAAGGTCAATTTTAATGTAACAAATTCAAAGTTGTCCCACGAAAAAAGGGAAAGGGTTCCCCACGGTCTCTCTTAGCAAGGGACATGTCACATGTCATTTGCCATTTGGTGCTATATGCTAACAGATGAACTAAGAGACCTCAAAATGTTTCAACCTTCTAAATTTCCAATACAGTAATCCTCCTTCTCTCGCGACTCACATTCAGATCTCTTCACGTGCTTTCTTTTGTTTTGGTCTGAACTTCACGTGCTTAAGTAACCATCACAGGCCTGTGTCTATCTATGACATGCTCCTTTTGTGGATCTATATCAGCTGACTATTATGTATATTTATCAAAATCCTACTCAATTGCACCAATCTGGAAATGTTTTTTAGTACAACTAGAGAAAAGCATTTAAAGGTCTTTTCTTTGCGCTTTAAAATGCATTTTTGAGATGCATTTTTATAAAAAGTAGAGTATAACTAACAATAATTTTAAGATACCTTATAGTTTATGTAACTTAAAAGTTTATTTGTTTAAATTAAACTTATTTGATAAATTAGTTTTTTTAGTAATTTATAACATTTTAGCAGCATCTTCTAAAGCGATGTTTAGCAACTGAACATGTAAGTTCTTACATTTTTTTTTCTAATTTTATCTTCACAATCTTATCGTAGTTTTTAAATATTATTTTATGTTATTTTTACACTTATTAGCTAGTTTAACAAGAAATATTATCAAATATTTTACTTTAATTAACTACCTTATTAATTTTTATTTAATTTTATTAAATACATTTGAATTCATAGTCAAATACCCGACCCCAATTAAATTATTTACCACTGTCATTCTACTTGAATTCGTCATGATAGAAAATATTTATTGAGCTCACACATTGGTGATGGTCATAAGCCACCTATCCACTCTAAATAAACCACTGCTCAAACTCATATTGGATCAGGTAGCAAATCTAAGCACCAATTGTTACACAAGTGCCTTTTCACTACCTACATTTCTAACCAGTTATTAGTTTTAAGAGATGCATTGTGTATATTGATATTGTGCAGGAGCTAGACACATTTCCATACCAAAATGTTATGTTTATAATGTTAGAGCATGTTCAATCAAACAGGTAATCCTCATCCACTATAGATCCCGTATTACTCCTGATAAACTTCAAATATATAATTTTTACTTATGCAAGCGTTGAAGTGTTTTCAGCAGAAACATCCTCGCTTGAGACGAATGGAGTACCGCAAGCTACCTTTGTTATATAGTCTTCTTCAATCTCCCGTACCACTAGCTCAATACTCAAGTACAGTAATACCGACGACATTCACAATAATATTGAATTTTATATGCATAAACAGATAAAACTTGGTAAAAAACGGAAATCGAGTGACTGCAAAAACAAGAGGTGGAGTACGAAAGCCGAATGCTAACAGCCGTCTCGTTCATTGTTTTCATCCTCGATACTAAATTGAATAATAATAAGACCAATTTAATCATTTATCATCAAAACAGACGGTAACAAACATACAGCTACAGCTATCCCTATACAATATGGAAGTTTGCTAACTTCTAGATATATGGTCCCTATATCATACGCATTAGTTAGATAGTTTGGCAAATTCAATCAACATGGGATGTGGAATGAGGTGTTCCAAGGGGCTGAAAATCTGTTGTGGTGTCACTGCCATTCTTCTAATAATATTGGTAGTAATAGCTGTTGTATTATTTTTCACCGTTTTCAAGCCCAAAGACCCCGAAATTATCCTGCAGTCAGTTAAGCTTGAAAGGTTCCACCTTATCTGGCCAACCGCGGAACTAGATGTATCATTAGGCATAGAGGTCACAGTTCAAAACCCCAACCATGGAAGCTTTAGCTACCATAACAGCACAGCTTATCTTAATTATTGTGGGAATCTTGTGGGTGAAGCTCCCGTACCTGAAGACACTATTCTTGCTCATCAAGATCATAACATAAGCACAACTTTGAATTTTTTTGCTGAAATCAGTAAGTTTAAAGATTTACCCAGTGATTATGATAGGGGCGTTATAAATTTTACCACAACGACCACCTTACTTGGGAAAGTCAGAATATTGGACCTCTTCAAGATCAAGGCCACAAGTTACTCCACCTGTGATCTCGCTATATTTGTACATGACCAAAGCGTCAATTCCACGTGCGACACAAACATCAAATTATAAGATTATTTTCAGTATTCTTATTCAGCTCCCTACGCCTTTTACATCACGGGAAGTTCCTGACTTGAAATATATGATTGATGCTATTTGACCTGCTGAAAATATTGAAGCTCATGATCTGTCGCTTGGACTTTCTGATCTGCATCAATTGAATGGTGCCCACAGAATGATTTAAAATTTTATCTTGAAGCGCGTAAAAAATTCCATTTTTCTAATTTCATTATATATATATATAATTTATAATATTAATTTTAAAAAATATTATTATAAGAAAATTTATATTAAATTAAATTTATCTAATTTTTAAACTAAAATTATTTTAGGATATTAAATTTTGAAAATATGAAATTAATATTAGTAATATTAAGCAAAAGTTATCATCAATTTAAAGTTAAGCATTACATAAAATATTTTACAAAATTAATTCTGATGCTGTTTATTTTTAGAATAAATTTTTAAAATAATTATTTATTATATTTGTTTTATATATGAATTTATTATATATAATTATCTGCTATAACGTATAATTAGACTTAATATGTTTATTATTTTTTATATTTATTAAATATTTAGTTTCTTTTAGTGTATTATACTAATTCAATGATATAAAAAATAATAAATAATTTTTTTATTAGAAATATAAAAAATTATAATTTATTTTATCATAAGTTAATATAATTATTAATTAAACGTTGTTATTTTATCCTAAAATAAATAATTTTATATTAATGATATAAATGTAACAATTATCTCTTAAATGAGTTATGAATTTTTAATATTATAAATTAAATAAATTTGATGTATGATATAACAATGATACTTTATTCATAATTTTTATTTAATATATATATATATATATATATATTTATACAGTAAATAATTCATTAGATAAATATATAACAGATTTAATAAAATTGATGAATATTTAATAAATTATATTGTTATCATTATTAATATAAACATAATTTTTTTTATTTTATAAGAAAGGAATTAATTTAATGATATAAATGTATTAACTATTTTTTAATAATTAAATAAAGCACATTTCAATAATATTTAAATATACTATTATTTTATAATAAGATAAATTTGATATAAGACGTAATTACAATAAAAATTAACATTTTCTAACTAGCAATTATGTAGTATAAAAAATTATTATAATTATTAAGTTAAATGTTTTTGTTTATTTAGTTATTATGTAAAAAAAATAATTTAATAAAGTAAATATATCTATTATTTTTTATTATTTTAATAAAGAGAATTTGAATAACATTTAATTAATTTTAATATAAGACTGCTTAATGAATAAAGACTCATTAGTTTTTATGTAAAAAATGTCTTTATATATTTATCAAATTCAAATATAAATATATATAAGAAATTTAATAAATAAAATTTAAATAACATTAAACAATATTTAGAGATCTTATTATATTTTTTTCAAAAACTTTTTTAAATATTGTATTTGATGTAAATTGTATTGGCTTTTCATCTTCATTTAAAATTAATAGTTTTTAATCTATTTTTCTTTTTCACTCTTAAAATAACAACATATAAAATGGAAAAACAGTAATCTTTATAAGTAAAGACTAATATTAGAAAGTGTTTATTCTTAACTCTTATTAATATTAATTGCAAAAGAAAGAGTTAAGAGAATTTGCTTCTTTTGAAACTTAAAAAGTAATTGACAATTTGAAGGAACTAAATTCATTTTTGGAATAAATATTTTATCATCAACATTTTCTTTCTTGTGACAATAGTGACTACAATTATATTTTTTTCAATTGATTAAAAATCAATCTACTTTCATTGCATAATCCATTTGATTGATTTATATTTCTCAAAAGCATGGTTGGAATAATTGTCTTCAAAATTAATATGTGATTTAGAATTCCTAAACATTTAACTTCATTCAAAATTTTGGTAGTAAAACAGTCACTGTTTGATTCGACATTTTCATTAGATGATCAAGTTGAATAAGAACTTTAGTATTCTCCTTCTTCTTCAAACATAAAAGTAGAATGAATTTATTTACTTTCTCAATACTTTTCAAAGTATATGCTAATAGTGCTCTTTGTTCAAAGAATTTAAAATAACCACAATTACTAACTAAATTTGGATATGCAAAGTCTACTAAATGCATAAGACTATTATTTGTTTCAAGAACGAGGAACTATTATGAAATTTCAAGTGTACTAACTTCATCTTTGTTAACTTCAATTCTCCATCCTTAATTTAAAGAATCCAATATGCAAAAAAATAGTCTCAGTTACAATTGAAGTGTTTTCTACTGATGTTGATAATCTCATATTGTTTTGTCAACTTGAGTACTTTCCAATTAGACCATAGCTAAAAAGAGTTCACAGTTGTGAAAAGAACATCTTCATTGCTACCTTTTAGAATGACTAGAAGTATTTGTCTAAAATCTCCTCCTAATACCAAAACTTTTCCACCAAAAGGTTCATTCATATTGTTTGGATTGTTCACTATCATTAAATCTCTTCAGTAAGATTTAGGGCTTCAAAACAAAATTTATTAATCATAGAAGTTTCATCCTATATGGTTAGACTTGTGTTGATTAATAAATCAACTTTCAAACACCATTACTTGATGTTAAACATGGAGGTATTATAATGAAATTGAAAATCTTGAATGAGTTGTCCTTCCTCCCTTTTCTTCTATATTCATATAATAAAAATAAAACCACCATATTGATTTAATATTGACCTTATTATTTAATGATAAATAATTTTTTGCTCTGATGTTAAAGAATCTAAAAGTATGCCATGTTGTTTAGTTGTATTGTAATTAAGCTCATTTGATATGAACTTATTTTCAACCAAATTGAAAATTGAATCATCTAAAATTGTCATATAGGTGTATTCCTTTAGAAATCTTCCATTACTTTGAAGTAGTTTTTAAACCTCAACCAAACAAAATTTTTTCAAGTCCTGGTCATTTAAAGTAAAATCTATAAAAATAGGACAAATTCTCACACTTAAATATTTGACTAAATCTTTTTAGTCCTTATGTATAAATAACTTTATTAAAAAAATGTATGCAAATAATGACCATATACTTTTAAATTAAATAAAGGTAATACTTGTATTCCTATTTTTCTTCCATGTTTCTCCCACACATAATTTGGTTTGGTCATGGTATCAAACATGAGTAACGTCCCAAGTAGTTTTTGTAATTGATGTCATGAACAAAGTTGTTTGTTTCCTTTATTTCATCAATAAATTCTTTGTCATCTGATAGAAGTCTTAATAAATAACATGCTTCTTAAAAATTGTTAAATGTAATTTCATTAACAATTCTTATGCTCTCATAGTTACAACCATGTTGCACTAATAACAACAAACCCAAATAGTAAAGCTCATCTGTTCTTGGAAGGTATAATGAAGTTTGCTAATTGAGAAATCTTTCTTTTTTGGTTATCATTTGCATTTTTCTTAATTAAAAAAATAAACTTATTAGAAAATTTTGCATAAGTCAGCTTTTCAGCCTTTGGGTACACCTTATTTGCTTCCATCCAAGCTAAGAACTTGGTGTTTTTGTCTTTATTTTTGTTAAGAATGTTATCATCTCTCAAAAAAATAGTTTGATGATTTGGTAAATGAAAATTTAACCTTTAAACTACAAGTCATCTTTAATGAATATCAAATGTCAAAATCCTCCACATAACTTCACATGAAGAAAGATGTCTACAATCGTAAAATTGTTCGATTTCATAAACAAAAGAGACATTTCCATCATTTTTAGATTTTTTTGGCTATTTTTAGAGTAACTCTATCTAAGCCTTTGTTTACATATTTGAATAGATACTTAATAGCATTCATCTTATTACAATATTCCATGTTAATATATACTTAATACTTCATTAAAAGAATTGGATTATAAGGAACAATATTTTTATCATCCATCTCTGTTCTTTTTTTGTTGTTTTAATTCCATAATTCCCCTTTCTTTAAGAAAGATAACCATCTTCATCAATTAAAATAGCATTATGTAATATTTTTAGGAAACTATTTGTGTTTTCATCCATAGACTATTTCAATTAGTAATTATACGTGAACCATGAACTATAAACTTTGTAACAACATTGTATAATCTTAGACAAGAGTTGAGAGTAGAAAATTTAGTACATATAAGTTTATCAATTTGATATGATGTATTTAACTTATTCTTTGCATTTAACCGTAACAGAATAAGCACATGTGGAAGTCCCTTTTTATAAAATTTTACAGTATTCATACCTATTAAAACAATATATTTAAGTTTTGTTACAAATCAACATCGATAATATATGGACTTTAATAAAAACAAATATATTAATTTGATAAAGTGATAAATTACCTACATCAGCTTTTCCAAATATCTTTCCTTTCCTAAAATCAATAATCATCTTATCTAACTTCATTTTAAACAATCCGCATGAAATATCTAGTCTGACTTCAAGTTTTATTTTGTAAGTAGTAAGGAATCTTGTTATCTTTGCCTAACTTGAATTGCCGATGAATGTAATGAACAAATCAAGATATTCAAATATGATACAAATAGTCATTGCATCTTAGTTGTTATCCAAACATATATCTCATACTTCTAATGAAAGAAGCATGTAATATCACACATCTACCAGTAATTAATGAATTTGTTTCACCACTGCTTACAACCTCTTCAATGTCATTTAAATATCAAATCTGATAGAAGATTGATTATTTCTTATAAATGACAACTTATGAGATTATATCATAATATATGTGTCAACTATAAATTATTGACTTAACTTTCTTGCATTCACTATGTTTCCAAATTCAACATTTTTTTGTTGAATTCTAAATGTTATAAATTCTTTAAGTTATTATTGAAAATTTCCTATTTTTATGTCCATGATCAGTTTCCCTAATGTAACGCCTCTAAACATAGACCCCAATTGCCCATTTGAGCACCTCACACCTTCATGCACGAGGTAATATATAATGTCTCTATGCATGCTT